ACTCATGGTTTCTTTTATTTTAAACCACAGGGAGAAGGACCCCCACTGTCCAGAGCAGTCTGGCCTTCCTTCCTGTTTCCAGAGAGGTAATCCCTGTACCTTAGTGATGACAGTGTCCTTGTGATTCATCGTGGCATTGCTGGTCCCCATCTGAGAATTTCTGGAACCCAGGCCTCTCTGTCCATCTGATGTACCAGTCTCTAAGGAAGGACTGAGTTCAGCATGAACACAATTCTATAAAGCCTGTGTCACTAATAAATCCCCCCAAAACATTCTGGACCTCAAATCCCTGCCGGAAGTCCTTTGTGGGCAATACCCTTCCACATAGTACTGTATAGTAGCAGGAAGAAGAGATGCTTCCTGTCCCTGATTCCACGGGGAAGGAAAGAAGCAACACTCTGGGACTGCATTGCTCTAGCCTCTGCCCCAGGCCTCTTTCCTTGGTGGAAATTTGTGCCTTTTCCCTGCCAGGGAAGGAAGCCCGGAGTATAACAGCTTTCAAGGAGTACTGTGAGTCTTTCTAGTGAGTTACAGAGCCCAGGGGTAATTTTGGGAGCTTCCTGAACTTGGAGCTGGTACTAGAAATCTTGGGAGGCCTAGAGGACTAAGTCCTTAACAACGCAGTTTTGCAGATTCCAGGATTTTCAGAAGCTAATCAAAACTTTGCAATGTCCCTCTGGATTATATGGATAATTTTTAAAATTTAAATTCAAGTTGCTTCTGCATCTGAAGTGAAAGTTTATCGGTCTTTCAGCGTCTCATTCCAGAGTGTCCCTGGGGGAGGCCTAAGCAGGCTTTCGAATATAAAACCTATTCCTTGAAATCGACCAACTGCTGGAGTCATTATTGCTATATTTGTGAGAACCAAAAATTTCCGTGTATCCGCCACTGTTCAATCAGAAGGAAACAACACTGCACAGCCACGGGCTGAGAAAATAAAGAAGAGAAAAGGCTGGGGTCAGCTGCAGCCCTTACTCTTCTGATGAGAGGAAGGGACTGCTCAACCACTGTAGCACCTTTATTTACACCCTCAAGAGGAGGATGTCAATTTCAATCCCTCTGCCAGGTAAATCGCCTGCCTGGCTGACCTGGGTCCCTTGCCTTCTTGGAGCAGGAACAGCTTGTTTATGTGGCTGGTTTTGAGCTCTCTGTGTTTTCAGGGCTGGCCTTGCTTTAGGCCCATACATGTGATCAATCTCCAGCTTCAGTGGCTTCTACACACTGTAATTTAATTAGGGAATGTGGAATCTAAAGAATTATTAGTCATCAAAGGCGACGGAAGCAAGGAGGCTTTGGTGAGGACGAAGCAAAGAAAAGGTGAGGTGTTACAGGGACAGATGTGAAGAGCAGACCTCTCTTCCAGGGCTGACAGGGAAGATCCCATGCCAGCTCCAGGCTGAGACACAGATGACCTGCGTGGAGGGCAGAGGTCCAACCTGGCTCCCTGGACCGCACAGAAACTGCATAGATCCCTCACTAGTTTTGTAATGCTTGGGAATCTGCTCTCAAAGTTGCAGGAAGATTTGCACATTAAGTTGTGTCGCCCTGGGTGCTGGGGGCAGCTGTCACATGCTGGATACTGCAGACTGTCTCCTGCAGGAAGCGCTGCCATAAAGAGCTGGGGACAGTAGAAGCCAGGCATGCCACACAGACCTGAGCGCTCAGCAGCACCCAGAAAACACGCCTCCTTGCAGCGGCTCTCCTCCGCCCTCTAGTGACGAAAGTCAATCACTGTGCCAGCTTCCACAGGAGAAGAATTTCATAAAATGGCAAAAAGGAAGGTATTGTAATACAAAAAGAAATGTAAACAAAAATCTCAGGGCATCACACACATTGATAATAAAGAACCCAGGATGTTATACATAATTAGAAGATGTTCACATATGCTATTTATTTTCAAATTCAAAATGCAATGAGATAAAATAATGTACTAGGTTGATAAATGTATTTGATCTTCATGTCTTGATTTTGTAAAATATTTGTGTTCTTTGAATAAAATCTGTTGGAGACACTTCCATGTGCTTATTTGTCTTGGTTATTTTTTTCTCATTGTTGAGACAAAATACCTGACACCCAACATGCAGGAAGGGAAGGTTTATTTCCTATAGTTTGGAGATTTCAGTCCATACTCAGTTGGCTCCAAGGCAGGATGGCATGGCTAGGCAGCTTGAGGCAAATAGACAAAACAAACAATAAATACATAAAATAAAAGTGAAGTGGTTGGGACTAAAAGGAAAGAAGATGGTAACTAGAAAAAGCTAAAAGACTTTGGTTATACTGTCAGCCCAGAAGTCAGACGATCTACCTGTATTTACAGCGAGCAGCTGAGAGCCCAGCACCCTGACCAAAGCCACCTTTTACAATGAGTTCATGACACTTTAAAAAAAAATTACAGTTACTTTCTTCTGAGATGATTTTCTTTCTTTAAAATGATAACAAAGGAAGAATATTTTGAGGGGCAGTACCTATGTCCTCAAGAAAACAGTGGAGAAGGTAATAATCTAGTCCAGAGATGAAGGACGTGAGGCTTTAGAAAGTTAAGTGATTTACTCCCACAGTTAGTAAGCAAAGGAGTTTGATTCCAAAACTTGGTTCTTATTCCTTGTGTGAGCTGAATCAGATGCCCATAATTTACAGTCAAGATGTGAGTATCTGTTACCGTGGGAGGATTCCTAGGGTTGGAAAGAGACTCTGCACTGGGGTGATGGGTCACTTGTGCAGATGAGGGGAAAAGGTTTAATTAGTGGAAATCAGGGAAACATTGTTTCCCAGAAACTGAGCAGGAGTTGTGAAGGCAGGACCTTAGGAAACAGGAGTCTTCACGAGTCATTAGCGTTCTCTTGTGGCTTTCTTAATGCATGGCAAAGTTTCCCCTGGTCTTTTCCCCTGCTTTCTTAGCTGTGCAATGTAAATTTCATTTTGAAATTTGGCATCAGTCAGCTACCTCGTTTCAGTAAGGGCCGGGGAACGAGTTTGAGCAATTCCTTCAGACTCATGATGTCCCCACATGTCCCAATCTCTGCGTAGAAGCCTCTGGAAAGTTCACCAAGCTCTTCTGGGTTCATGTAGTGTATGTTTAGTATAATGTACTGTGGTTTCTTTGAGTCTTTGGATAATAATAAATAATTTTCAGTGAAATGAATGAAACATCACCAGTGGCTGAAAAAGAAGCATCTTTCTGTTTCAGAATTGATGATCTTTAAACCATCCTGTGCAGTAAAAGCCTGTTCCCCATTCAGGACTGGCCGGTGGACTCAGGCGGGTCACTCCCGAGTCCCCAGAGTTATCTGTGCTTGTGTGTTTAGGGAAGGAAAACAGACTTTCTCACAAATTTCCAAAGAAAAAAATGTAGGTAAGCAGATTTATGGTAGGAAATGGTGTATCGTTCAGTTCTTTTGTGGCCCAAATGAATTAAAGAAGGAAAGGTTTGCTTTGATTTATGGTTGCAGAGTTCTCAGACTAATGTTAGCTGACTGCAAAGTGGGAACACCCTGGCAAGAGGGTGTAGTGGGGGAAAACCCACCTCAGGCATCCAGGAGGCAGAGCCGGAGCTGTGGTCTCCCTCAGCCTCTGTCCCACACTGCTGGATGATGCCGCCCAGGCACAGGAACATCTCCTCCATCGTTTGCTGCCCCTCGTGCCAATCACTTCTGAAGACACCCTGACCACCTCACAGAAGAGTGCTTTTATTAGTTTCCTAGGTGTTTCTCACTCTGAGCAGACTGACAAGATCAGAGAAGTCAGTTCTACAAAATCAGAAAGCTTTACATAGCACCCTGTAAAATAATAGGTTGGGAAAATATCCGAAGGACAGTTTATCATCTAGTCTTAACTTCATGCAAGCAGAACATGAAATCTGTGTTTCTCCTAAAATAGACAACTTTGATTTCACAGCTGAAGCTGTCATTACAAAGACCACAAAAGCAAAACCACAAACCTGCTAAGGGGCGGGACTGAAACCTTAGCTGCTCTCAAAGCATTTCTAAATTGGAAGAGAGCTCTGTCCAGTTGGAGGTTTCTCAGAATCAGCGCTGTAATTTATTTCTTTTGTTTCGTGGTTAGTGGCCATGATATTTGCTACGTATAAGGTTAAGCACTATCATTGATGAGCTTCATTTATTTCCTTTGTAAAACCAAGGTAATAATTTCGCAAGTATTGCTGTAAGGACTAAGTGAAATAACAATCTTAAAAAAATTTCAAACTATAAAGTACAGTATTTTTAATACACATGAAGGCTATATAAGTGTTGTTGCTTGTATTGTTTAAAAGGAAAACGTTTAGATAACTGCAAGTCACGACTTTCACTCAGCTCTTAGAACTGGCACCAAAGAAACAAGCAGTATTCAAAGTAAAGCCACCAAGTACAGGTTACAAATTACTGGGAAAGCACTTAAGCCTCAAATCTATTTTAAGGACTAAAATTTTATGGGCAAACCAAAAGACTATCAATCATTTAAAAGTCATTTTAGTAATTGTGTCCTTAATCTTAGTATCTCTTCCATTATCATGGCAAAAATGCATTTCTCAGAGATGGGAAGTTGGCTGGGGGACAAATTCATTCCAGGGCCCCCAAGGCACCATGGGTGGCTGGTTCAGAGCCTCCACAGGAAGAGTGGCCTGGAACGAGGACCTTTGGGTTCTGGCTCTGCCATTCTCTTCCTCTTTACCTTATTGCAGTTTGTTTCCTTAGAATTTATGGTGTTTCGCATTGTATATTTTTCCTTATAAATATTTAAATTAACTATTCAAAATATATAGAGAAAACTATACTATGTATGTTATAAATTTGCACTTAATTATAATGTGTGTATGCATGTACTTGATTATATATATGAAGTGAGAAAAAAGATTGTATATTTCCAATACAATTTACACTCTGTAGGACAGTAAAATTATATAACCAATAAGGAAATCAGAGCACATTACCCAATCATCATCTGTTGCATGACACGTCCTTCCCTGAGAGATAAGTTTGGGACTCCCTTAGAGATAAGTTTATTTAAAACATTTTTGTGGAATCCCAAGCACGGCCTCTTTTGTATCGTCTTGTGATTCTGTGATTCTGCACATCCTGCTCTGTGGAGCTTCGCAGATCTTGCTTTTCCTACGATTCTGTTGCCACCTCTGTTCTGGGCACACAAGCGCGCTTACAGCTCAGAATAGATTCCAGCATTTACCTGGTAAGATTCTGTTTGCTTTTCAGGGAATTGGGTATGTTCATGGCTGATGGAGGGTATGAGTCAATTAAATTCTAAGTGTTCCCCCTGAGAGGATGTTACATCCAATTTCTGCACTCTGGAAAATGTGTTTCCATGTTTTCAGTCTAAGTGAGGGTGAAACTCAGCTCCTAGGACAGGTCGTTAGAAGCTTTTTCGCTGTCTTTGCCTTTCTATCTGGGGTTAGCCTTTTAGAGGGCTCCCATAGGGCCTTCTTGTAGGCTGTTGTATCCACAGAAAGCCTTTGGTCTCCTTTCTCTGGACTACCTTCTACTTGTATTAGTCCTTGTTTGAAGTATGTGGGGACCATGCTTATAATGGGGTGTTGTGCATGGACACAGCACACCTAAATTTGCTTTGTTCATACTCTTCCTCACCCCCTTCCACTTCATACACTAATTTTTAAATAGTGTGACTCCAATCCTTAGACCTTTTCATTCTTTCTTTAAAAAATTTTTTGATATAATTTTAAATCCCCTCCACACGTAGTTTTTACAACCCAGACAATGTCTTTCCTAAGCTTAGGAGATCCTCTCTCTAGCAAGTCATTATCAACAAACACAGCATCCTCCTCTCCCAGTGGCTGGGAAAGGGCAGGAGGATGCCTCCAGCAGGTGACCTGCTCCAAGCTGTGAAATGTTCTCCTATCAGGAAGATGTGAGAAAGTTTACACTTAATTTGAGTAAGTGATTAGCACACCGGTGGCATGGTGGCCGATGCCGTAAGACCTCCTCCAGCCTGGGCCTTCCAGGCCCCTCACCTCTGTCTCTTCCTAGCTGGAGCTGAGTAGCAGATTGAGGCTCTTTCCTATCCCTAATAATACTATTGGAACAAAATCCACTTCTGTCTGATTGCCCTGCCCAGTGCAATATTTTTTTCTTTAATATCTGTCTTTTACATAGTTGTTTGCAAAAAGTCAGAAGTAATGTAAATGCTCTGAGAGACTCCATCTGGATGTCTCCCCCTTTTCTCCCTTAATACTAAATTTATAGAGTCCAGATTTTACTTTTAGGAATGTCTTAAACTTATCTTGTTTCTTTTAGAATTTCATACTACGGTATTCTAGCTATGACTGCATGATTAGAGATATGCTTCATATTTATTGTTATTTGCATTGGCAATAAACATTTAATAATGTAGTTAAGACTTATGTAGTGCTTTATGTAGTTCTTTCTGTAGTGTTTATGAATAGACAGCTCTTTAAGAATATGCATGTGTTTAACCGCACTCAAGCAGTCTCACTTGAGTGGACTTGATTTATTGATCTCGAGGGTGTAGATATTTGAGTTTAGTTTTTTTTAAATTTTATTTAAAGAAAATAAACAGTAAATGGGTACAAGTAATACAGAATTTCAAAAAAATAAACAGTAAGAAATCACTAGTTAATAGATTACATATTGTCATCCTAGAAATAGTTGTTCAAGTTACAAAATTAAAGCATACAAAATGGACATTCAAACAGTGAGACTGCAAATAGTTGTGTTCCAACAAATACTTAGTAATATGGTCATCTGTCTCACACACCTAAACACACTTGCAGTTGTATCCTTTGGAGCACTTTCTTTTCTTCTCTTTTTTATAATAACAATTACGCATTTTGGGTTTCATTACTCCCACAGTTCTTATTACTTTTTGAGCCTAGTTTTTAGCAAAAAATACATTTATCAGAACTATCTCAGGAGAGAGGAAATGGATAGCTCAGGGAAATTCCACTCAAATGGGGTCACTGGAAAAACAGGAGTATATAAATCAGTACTTGGTAATTAGCTCCTGAGTCAGTGACATGAAGGAAGCTACACTCTTGGCAAGACACCAGAACAGCAAGCTTTCTGAACAGCGCTTCCATTTGGAATTTTACAGCATACAAATGTGAAGCAGGAGAAATGGAAAACAAACGTCAGTTAAGTTATTCATTTACTCCTGACTGTTGGAAACTCTGGATTTCAGTGTGTTTCCCTTCCCCCTTTTCTCTTCCCTGAAGCTTAATGATAGGCTCCCTTTAAGTGAATGGAAGAGATTCTCATGTCAATTTCATTTTAAACATATACTTGATGGAACCAAAGTAAAGGAATTAAATACTATGTTTTACTTCCAATAATTTCAAGTATAGTGTTTCTGGAAGGGGGCTGCTTGTCAGGCTACATTCTTCACCAGAGGGAAGAGCCATATGGTTACTACCTGGAGCTAATGTTGTCATAAAAGTATATTAGTACCAAGCATTTATTGTGTACTTATGTTCCAAGGGCTATGCTGAATAGTTCACATAAAGTTTATTGCTTTAAATTTCATGGTGACATGAGAAGTAAGATCCTATTAGTTTTCCCTTTCCACAGAAAGGGACTGAGCTGGTCACTGGTTTATCCTTGAATATATTGACACACTACACCCATGTCTCTGAAGACTGGGAAAGCATAAGTTTAAGAAGGGATACAGGAGAAAAAAAGTCAAATGGAGTGAGGTAGTTACCTGATAATGACCTTACCAAAGAATACAGGAACCAGGGTCAGAGACTAAGTTAGTTTTAGTAAGGTGGAGAATGTGGTTTGGATTTTATATCCCTATTTGCTACTATGCCAGAATATGAATATTCAAGTGATGTTAAAATAGATAATTGATTAGATTTTCTTTGCTATCAACAGGAATTTCAGTGGGTCTCCTTACTTTGGGGAAAGGTTTAAGGAGGGTACCCCATTTGTCTCAAGACAAGGAGGTGGTAACAGACCTTGGACGTGATGAGACACCCACTGAGAAAAGCGGAAAGGAAAGCTAGCATTTGATGAGAGAGGCCAGTGGGTATGAAAAGTGGGAGACAGGGGCAGGTCTCCCTTAGACTAAGACTGCTGAGCGGGGAAGAGGAAAGGTGCATGGCTCTTGGGTCTGTGGATACATTTTTTTTCCTGTGATTCGGGAGACCTTTGATTATAATCACCCTAATATTTGAGAAAAAAGGGTGACATACAAATGCCCAAGCTCTTACTCACTGTAACACTCCTGGAAACAAGCAGGACTTCTGAGGAGGAGAGATAGAAACTGTGTTCTGAAGAAGAGGGTCCTAATTCTTTTTCCACCCCTAACTGTGCAGATGAGACAATAAACTTCTCCTCCCCTGTGAAAGTGAACAGGAGAAGGTAACTTTGACCTCTGTAAGTCAAAGTCCTCAACAGAAAGTATGAGAGACAGAGCCCAAAGACAAGATCCCCGTGAGAATCTGGTAAGATGCCGGTCTCTGTCTCTCCATCCCACTTCAATGACAAGGAGAGCTTTGGACTTCTAGGGCAAATTCAGCTGTGGGTTGTTGCTTCTAAGGACAAGCATTTGAAGATCTGGAATTTCTTTTGCTGCAATAATATTACTCCTTAGAGGGCTGGTGTGGGGAGAATCAGACACTAGCCTTTTCCTATGAGTCCGTGCCATTTGAGGACTGTGATGGAGGAGAATAAGAAATAAGCAAGAATCTAAAACATCCCTATAAGTCAGCACCATGCCCAAGCCCTGGGGAGAAAACCAGATGCCAGCCCCTTCTCGTGCATAGGCTGGGGGACAAGAAGAGCCAAGCCCGTGCCCCAACCCCTGCCATCAGTGACTGATTGATGAGGTAAAGTACATCCTAATGCTTACGTGCTTAGCATTTTACTGTCTTTGCAGGTATGAGGCTGGTAGTTTGAGCATCTACTCAGAGGATAACAGTATGCAATGTAGTGTCTATGGGGTCTCCTTCTGAAGGTGGTGGTCATTGTTAATTCCAAGATAATTTCATTATCTTGTTTTGAAGTCCTTTTCATTGTTTTGTAGGGTTGGATTTTATTCTGTTTTGTTTGATTTTATTATATCCAATGGCATGGGCAGCTATTTCAGTGATAACAAGATATATTATGGTATCCATTTTGGATTTACTGTTATCTTGTTTTGAAGTCCTTTATTGCATTCATTGTTTTATTTTCATTGGTTCTGTTCTGTTCATTTTACTATATCTGAAGCTATGGGCAGCTACTCTGAAGACAATAAGAGGCATTATATTAATCCTTGTTGATTTGCTATTATCTTGTTTTGAAGCCCTGTATCACTTACACTGCTTTGTTTGATTTGTTTTATTCATTTTATTTTTCTTGGTTTTATTTTCTTTAAAATAAAAATTACAAAAAATAGTACTCTTTAGTCTAATACCCTTGTAAAATCTCTGAGAAGAGACATTTTTATTCTGAATTTAAGCCCAGTATATTGGTAGTTTATTGAGAGCTAGTTTACAGCTAGAGCATTCAGTGTTCCTTATTAAGAGTCCTAAAGCCTGATTAATAAAGATTAATGACAGTGTAACAGACTTTTTAAAATCATCTATTGAGCATTTAGCTGTATGATCTCATTTTATTTGGAAGATATATATATATCTATCTATATCTATATCTATATCTATATCTATATCTATATCTATATACATATATATATATATACATATATATATTAACCCCGTATTAGAGACAAGGTAACTGAGACTCAAGTATTGGTGGTTTTCAAAAAATGACCCAGCAAAGTGGTTTTGTAAATAAGGTAATTGCTATGACTTGAAGAAGGAGTTAGAAAAATACGTTCATGCAACATTTTATCTACCACTCTTCTCCTCCCTGGAAAATCCTTTATGTAGATAGAGAAACAATCAAATCATGAACTACATCCAAACAGCAGTTCAGGCATGGATGAAGACTGACCCCACAGACACTTTGAGGTCCCTGTGAAGAGTGGTGGGGACACACTTCTTTTTGTGGAAGGAAAAATACCAAAACTGGTTGCATAAGCAAAGAGAAGACTCAGAATTTTTTAAATTCTCCCCTCTATATATTTTAAATTCCTTGTCTCCCACTGGCCAAAGTCCTAACCAGTCACAGTAGATAAATAGCAGCCCCTTTAGTAACTTTTCATGTGATCTGGAAGAGTTTTAGTTATAAGCATGATGATAAAGCAAGAGCTGT